ATATATGACATCACATGTTAATTGATCATACCATGACACAATAAATGAACAATCAACTAAAATCATTGGCTACACATCCATCTATCCATGCCTCTGCAATACCCAGCAAGCCAACCATGCCTCTGCAATACCCAGCTCTCTCTCCACCCACGCTGGAGGAGATGGATGCTCCCCTCTAAGGCTTCAGCTTGTGCAGAGTTTTCTTGATCTGCGGGACGTATTTGGAGACCTCGGTGAACATCAGGGGTGCTGAACCATGAAGTTTGCCCTAGGAGACAATGCCATAGGCCTTCCCATCACAGACCAGGGGCCCCTGGAGTCGCCCTGAGAAACAAACACAAGGTGTGGGGTTACTGATGTCCAAGCAAAGGGTGGGCTGCTTTCTCTATTCACTGTCCTGAAATCCACCTCCATACCCCGCTTCCTGGGGATTCACGGTCAAGTCACTCCCAGGTCTTCTCCCACCCCCAGGGTTCCCACCCCACGGGCCAGGGATCCAGCTGGCCCCTATCCCTGATTCATAGGATCTGGTCAGTTCCTGTGTCTGATTTCTAGCATCCATCCCCAATTTCTTTAACTTGCTCAATTTCCATCCCTGATTCCTGACTCTGATTTCCAGCGTCTGGTTGACTCCTGCCTCTTATTTCTAGGATCTCCTGCTGATTTCTCGGAACCACTCCTGGTTCTTGATTCAGGAATCCCCCTCTCTGTCTTCTAGGATCCAGTTGATTCCCAACTGTGATTTCTAGAATCTGTCTCTCACTATTAAGATCCATCCCGGATTTCTAGAATGTGGCTGGTTTTTGTCCCTGATTTACAGAACATGTTGAACATCCAGCTGATTTCTGTCCCTGATTTCTATGATCTTGCCAGTTCCTGTCCCAAATTATAGGGATCCAGTCCTCATTTAAAAGACCTGCCAACTTCTTGTCCCTGCTTTCTAGCCTCCATGCCTGATTCCTAGGATCTGGCCTGTTTTGGTCCCTAATTTCTACCCTCCATCCTTGAGTCCTAGGATCTAGGAACCCCTGTTCCACACTCACCTGGAATGACGCCTTCCTCTTCTGGGGGTCCCCCACGCACAGCATCCTGGATGGGGCATAGTGCGGAAAAGCCTGAGACAGACACAGGCCCTTTCTCATGACCTTCAGTTCCACCTCCTGCAGGGTTGGGGAGGCTGGGCATTTTCCTCAGTACTAGCCAGGCCCCAGCCGGCCACGCTGCACACAGCCCCCTCCTTCGCCTCCCTCTGGGACAGGGGGATGGTGCCGCAGTCTCAGTCAGATTGGCCTTGTGCCTCAGCTATGATGGGGGAGAGAGAGAACGGAAATCAAACTCCTCTTGGGGGATGGATCTTGTCCTAGGGGGATGGGGCCAGATGGGAGCAAGTGGGGCAAGCCCTTAACAACTGTGCAGCACTGTGATGCCATGTGCTCTGTGGGGCGGGGGGATGGGATAGGGCAGTAATTGCAGCCGTGTGAGGTCATGGGGGCAGGGGGATGGGATGGGGGAGGTACCGGCAGCACTGTGAGGTCAGTGGGGGTGTAGTGATGGGATGGGGATGGTACCTGTAGCAATGTGAGGTCAGTGGGGGTGTAGTGATGGGATGGGGATGGTACCTGCAGCACTGTGAGGTCAGTGGGGGTGTAGTGATGGGATGGGGATGGTACCTGCAGCACTGTGAGGTCAGTGGGGGTGTAGTGATGGGATGGGAATGGTACCTGCAGCACTGTGAGGTCAGTGGGGGTGTAGTGATGGGATGGGGGAGGTACCTGCAGCACTGTGAGGTCAGTGGGGGTGTAGTGATGGGATGGGGATGGTACCTGCAGCACTGTGAGGTCAGTGGGGGTGTAGTGATGGGATGGGGATGGTACCTGCAGCACTGTGAGGTCAGTGGGGGTGGTGTGATGGGATGGGGATGGTACCTGTAGCACTGTGAGGTCAGTGGGGGTGTAGTGATGGGATGGGGGAGGTACCTGCAGCACTGTGAGGTCAGTGGGGGTGTAGTGATGGGATGGGGATGGTACCTGCAGCACTGTGAGGTCAGTGGGGGTGTAGTGATGGGATGGGGGAGGTACCTGCAGCACTGTGAGGTCAGTGGGGGTGTAGTGATGGGATGGGGGAGGTACCTGCAGCACTGTGAGGTCAGTGGGGGTGTAGTGATGGGATGGGGATGGTACCTGCAGCACTGTGAGGTCAGTGGGGGTGTAGTGATGGGATGGGGGAGGTACCTGCAGCACTGTGAGGTCAGTGGGGGTGTAGTGATGGGATGGGGATGGTACCTGCAGCACTGTGAGGTCAGTGGGGGTGTAGTGATGGGATGGGGATGGTACCTGTAGCAATGTGAGGTCATGGGGGGTGGTGTGATGGGATGGTACCTTTAGCAGTCTGACATCACTCGGAGCAGGGAGATGCAAAGGCATGGTACCTGCAGTAGCATTATGTCATTTTCATCTGTCTCGTCATTGTGTTCTGGGTGGGGGATTTAGGGAGAATGGGGCCAGATCCCAGCTGGGGCAATGGGACATAGCTCCATTGAGGTCAATGGGGCCAGGTCCCAGCTGGGGTCAGTGGGGCGTAGCAGTGCAATAACCCACAGTGTAACTCTCAGCAGTTAGGGGTCTCCCCTCCCAAGCGGTGGGAGAACCCCCGGTGTTTGTTACACGGCTGGAGACAGACTCTTTTAAACAAGAATTGCCCTGAATACAGAGAAGGAAACACTGTGGGAAGGTTTCTATCATGTCGATGCTGAGCTGTTTGTACAGCGGCAGAGGTGATGGCCAGCGGGGACCATCAGACCATCTCCTCTGCCCGCACCCCCAGGCCAGAGCGCCCAGCCCAGGGGATCTGAATGACGTTGCCTAGGAATTGGCCATTCGAATCCCTTCGGTGGCTGGGCCAGTGTCAGGCTCGGAGACGCTGCTGCCAAGGCCTGGGCTGGATTCTCCATCCCTGGTGACGTGTAAGTCAAGCCGGGACATTTCTCTAATAGCTCTCCTGTAGTTCGAGCTGGGATTAGCTCAGGGCTGTCCCAAGGCCAGGGCTACGCAGAGGTCAGACAGGACGAGCACCGTGGGCCCTTCTGGCCTTGGAATGGATGAATCTATCAAAGGAATGTGGCTTTTCTATTGCAGCAGGTCGGGGTGGAGGGACCCAGAGCATCTGCGGGCAGCTCTGGGAATCTCTCTCATGCCTCTGGCTCAGACGAATCTGGTCTTTGTCCAGACAGTGACAAACAGAGCACTGCCCCTGTTACCAGACAGAGAGAGCCAGATGGAGGGACAAGAAGCAATGGTCTCAAGTTGCAGGGGGGGGAGGTCTAGGTTGGATATTAGAAAACACTATTTCACTAGGAGGGTGGTGAAGCACTGGGCCTAGCGCCTGCCCCAGACGACATGGGTCAGGCGGGAATTCAGTGCTGGAGAAGTTTGTATCAGATCTGTCCTGATTCCAGAAAACACAGGATGGGAATTGAAATTAACAAGCGGTGTGGTTGAGGGGCTGTGGGGCCATGGTGTGTGGGACGGCCTGACTGGGCTGTTGTGAGCTGGGAAGCTGTGTGGCCAAGTAGCCAGAGCAAAGGCCTGCACCTCAGGACACCTGTGTTCTGTTCCCGGCCTAGCTGCTGCGTGACCTTCGGCGAGTCCTGGCCCCTTTCTGTGCCTCAGTTTACCCATCTGGGGCTAATGATCCTGACCACCCTTTGTAAAGAGCTTTGAGATCTCCTGGAGGGACGAGCTAGGAGCCCAGATTCTCAAAAGTATTCAGGCTCCCGGTGATTTCAATGGGAGTTAGGCACCCAAACACCTCTGAGGATCTGGGCCTAGATGTTTTTATTTAGCACCAGTTTTGTGTATGGCTCAACCCAGCACCTGCATCCTGCCCACTGCCCCATTATCCTCCCCCAACCCTGTATCATCCACACACACAACATCCAGTCTACAGGCCAGCAATGGAAAAGGCCTTGCAAATTGTTCAGAGAAAACATTTTTTATTTAGAAAAATGGCTTTTTTTCTCTTCAAATGCCATTTGTTTTTCAAACAAGCGTCCGTTTTCAATATTTTCCAAATATTTGGAAATAGACAATTCTTTCTTTTGCCCCAGTGTATCTCAGCGATGCTTTCTGGGTTCCCCTCCTTTGGGTTTTTCCAACCTCCTGTCAGTATCACAATAATAAATAATAAATAATTAAATACTTGTGGGGTGGGGAGAGGAAAAAAGAAAAAAAAATGCTGAAAACAAACAGAAGTTGGGTCCAGCTCAAAATGTGTGAAACAAAATCACAGAAATTTCACACAACCATTTCAATGTGCTATTGTCATGGGCTGTTTAATTCGACTAGCCACTCTTCATGGTCATAGGTTGGCCATCAAAGTCACATGGCCCCATTCCTGCTCTCTGCTTGGGAGACAGAATGTTTTTAAGCCAGCCAAGGACATGCTGCAGCTTGGAATTTTGATGGTGGAAAACCCTTGAGGAATGGATTAGGTGTACAAATGATCAGCATTTGTAGAGGTCCTATACAATTCAGCAGAGAAAATACAACCCTTGCTCCAGAATCCCCTTAGCTGATGTAAAACCCTGTGCACATGTGGGAATTCGAATGACTCAGGAGGAAAGGTTGTCACCAAATTTTGTTCTGGGGTAATGGGGCATGTGGATCGGACAGACACAACATAAACACAGAGATCCGGGGACAGGAGCGAGTCAGACGCAAAGTAAAAAGCCAGGCAGACATAGCCTGGAAGCACAGGAATGTGGCCCTGAGAAAAAGCTAAGAGAAGAACCATTTGGGCACAGAGTCTTGGCTTCAGAGGCAGGCTCTGTACAGTGAATAGAGGAGCTGTCTGCTGCTGTTTGATTCCAGCTGTGTTCAGGGAAACGGGACTTTGGATATTTCTTGTAAATAAACTAGATCGCATCAGAGGAAATACCAGACTCCATTGTCAATTTCTGCTCCCAACCGGAACACACATAGGGTCCCAAACATTGACTCGACACTTGGGGAGACAATATAACAAAATTTAAACATTGATGGGGTATTTCTAGCTACAAAAGGATTTCAGGACTGAGCCACTCGCAGCATTTCTCTAACACTAGAAACAAATACTCTGATCTAAAGCACCTCAGGGTTCCACTCAGGCACATTGCCCATTATGGTGAAATTGGCCCTTTAAAGGGGAGCATCTCCTTTAACTCAGTTTCTGCAGAGTTTTGTTGATCCAGGGGATGAATTTGGAGATTCTTGTGTATATGCTGGGGGGTCGCCCATCCGGATCTCCATTGGAAATGATGCCCTGGACCACCCCGTCGCACACCAATGGCCCACCGGAATCACCCTGCCAATAAGAAGAAGAACATCAGTGACTGATATTACCCAGCCCAGCCTGTCCTGCGGAGATCTCAGATTGCATGTGGGACAGGTGCTCTCTGCAGCTGAAGGCCCAGCCCTTCCTGCCAAACAGAACCAGCCTGGAAATGGGTCGGCAGAGAGGGAAATCTAGAGCTGCACAGAATGTGGAAAAGGCAGTTTCTACAAAATTGAAATTTTCCACAGAAAACAATCAATTTTAAATTTTTGCTTTAGGAAAATTGAAAGGAAATATTTCATTTCGGGTCAGTTCCACCTGAATCAGAATATTTTACCTTTTAAAAAATGCCCTGAAACATTTAGTTTGGAATGAGTTCAACAAGGTGTAAAACTGCTTTCTCCTAACCATGCATTGGCTTGTGGGAGTTGTCCTTCAGGTCTTCATTCTCTCCTAAGAACTTGGCTCCCTGGAGCAGTACATCTCCCATAATGCAACTCAGATTTGCTTCTGACTGAGCTGTTTGAGGCATCATGGGAATCACATGACTCAGTGCATTGTGGGAGACATAGTCCAGGCAGGGGCTACCTCAGGGAAAATAGAGGCCTGAACTACAGCTCCCAGAAGGCAATGTGCTGCTAAGGAACTGCAGCCCCTTCAGCCTCATCTTCTCTAGCCTAAACATGCCCAATTCTTTTAGCTTTTCCTCCTACATACGGTTTTCTAAACCTCTGATCATATTTTTTTGTTCTTGTTTCTCTCCTCTGGACTCTCTCCAGTTTGTTCACATGGAAGGAAACGTTTCAATCTATTCACGTCTGAGCATGTTTCATTTCCATTTAAAATGTTGCAATGAAACATTTTGACATTTCTGAGTCAAACCAGCTTTTGGAATTTCTGTTCTGCCAAAAATGTTGAAATCTCAACTTTTCCTCAAAAACAACTTTTCTTCGAAAACAAAGATTGAAATGTTGCCATTTCCTGAGAGATGGGAACACTGATTCTCCCTCAGCTCCAGTGCCAACCTGGCCCTACGGACATCATCAGCAAAGCTCCCATCCACATGTATGGGGCCAGGATTTCACCCAGGGTCCTATCTGTTGGGTGGCCTCAGGGTTGAGTTCACCAGTAGAGCCTCGAGTGAAGGTGAAGAGTAGAGATGGTCAGAACATGTGGTAGGGAAGGGGGGTTTCCCCTTTTTCATCAACACTTTTCCTGGAACATTTTGCTAAAAACGCAAAGCCTAACCATGTCTAATCATGGGAGGTGTATTTCAGGTGTCTCGTGCCCTTATGGGAACACAGGACTGGAAGGGCCCTACTGGGTCATGAAGTGCAGTTTCTGCTATTACAGGCAGTCCTGTCATATCATCCCATCCATGAACTTATCAAGCTCTGTCTGCATCCTTGTTAGGTTGTACCCCTCGCCCAAAGGCTCCTGTTGGAGCTTTTTCCAGAACTTCCCCCCTCTGGTAGTTAGAAACTTTCTCCTCATCTCCAGCTTCCATTGATCCCTGCCACATTTGTCCCCATTTGATTCACCCTTTAGCTTCAACAGCTCGTCTCCCTGCCTGGTGTAGTCATCCCCGCCCCAGACCGATGTATTTATAGAGCAAACAGACCCCTCTCAGCCTATCTTCTATGCTGAGCTAGCCCAGGTATTTTATTCCTTTCTCCTCAGACCGGTTCTCCATTCCCCTGATCGTCCCACCAGCCCTTCTCAACACCTGCTCCAGCTGAGATTCCTCTTTCCGGAACAGGGCTGCCCAGAACTCTGCACCGGATTCCAGCTGAGCTCTCCCCAGAGCCTTCTCCGCTGGCATTAAACCCTCCCTCTCTACTGGAGACACCTGACCTGCTCAATCCCAGGATCACATGGGCCTTTCTTCTGGCCTCATCCTGATGGTGGCCCATGGTCACCCTGTGATTGACTCACACACCCATTTCTCCCTCCCTGTCTGTCACTTCCAGCTGAGAAGTCCCCGGCTCAGAGCAGCAATTCTTGTTTCTTGACACTACATGCATGAGGCCATGTTAAATTTCAGCCCATTTGTACCAGCACCTTGCACAAGGGCACTAACGCTGGAGATACCTCTCCACAGTCACCCTTCGTGCTGGGCTCCCCAGCTGGGCTGCATCTCCCACGATGCACGATGGGCTCCCCTCTTGGTGCAGTGGAGCATGGGAGGGGCACGTCCATGGTGGTTTTCACCAGCTCCTTCCCCTGGAGCAGCTTGCTGCACCCCCAGTGGCTCTGGGCTGGGGGGTATTTACCTGGAAGGCTGATTTCTTGGCGTGGGGGCTGCCGGCACACAGCATGGTGGTGGGGTCGTAATGCCGGTACCGCTCTCCGCACAGCCCGTCCGACACCACCTCCTGCTCCGCCTCCTGCAGCCTGTCGGTGGTGGTGTTCACTCCGGTCCGACCCCACCCGGCCACGCTGCACTCGGAGCCTGGGCTGACGTGGTGATCAGCCTCCGGCAGGGGGATGGGCATCACCCACTCGGTCAGCTCCGCACTGCGCCACAGCTGCCATGGGGAGGAGAGAGAGAGAATGGACCCGGATCAGCGCCGGGACTGGGGCTGGGAAGGGGCAGCACCACCCGGCCAGAGCATGGATGTGAGTCCAGGGAGTGAGTGTGAGGTCACTGGGGGAGGGATGATGGGACGGGAGTGCTACCTTCAGCAGTGTGAGGTCACTGGGGGAGGGATGATGGGATGGGGGTGGTACCTGCAGCAGTGCGAGGTCACTGGGGGCCGGCTGATGGGATGGGGGTGGTACCCTAGCAGAATGAGGTCACTGGTGGTGGTACCTTCAGCAGCATGATGTCATTATCAAAGTTCTCATTGCTGAAGTCAGGGTGCTGGATCCAGCGACGGGCCCGGATCCGTTGCCAGTTCTGTCCTGGCTTCTTGAAGTCTTGGACTCCCAGGTAGACATAGATGTTGCTGGAAAAACCAAGGGGAAAATATGGGGGCGTTAGTGCCCATTGGATATTGGGGTGGGGCCATCACAGACCCTCTGGAAGGGACACCAGCCCAGCTCCTGGCCTGTGCAGATTTCTACCCACAGTTTTGCAACTGAGTAACATAGAGACCATCTTATGCACCTACATGTGGATGGACTTCCTCCTTCTCCATTCTGGTTGGCTAAAGAGACCCAAAAGACTGACCAATGGACTATTCTCCTATGCAGGGTGACCCATTGTCCAGTTCTTGTGTCCAAGGTTCAAGAAAGATGTTGATAAATTGGAGAGGGGTCAGAGAAGAGCCGCAAGAATGATCAGAAGATTGGAAAACACACCTTATACTGAGAAACTCAAGATCAATTGATTTCAAATTAAGAGGGACTATAGAGATTCTAGAGGAACAGCCGTGTTAGTCTGTATTCGCAAAAAGAAAAGGAGTACTTGTGGCACCTTAGAGACTAACCAATTTATTTGAGTATGAGCTTTCGTGAGCTACAGCTCACTTCATCAGATGTATGAATGTATGTACAGACTAACACGGCTGTTCCTCTGAAACCTGTCATAAAGATCTTGAAATCTATGAATCATTGAATTCCATATGGCAGAAGAAGGAAAATATCTATGGGAAGGTGTAAGGCCCTAATCTGGGTGCCACTTTGAAATATTAAAAGAAATTGTTTAAAGGGGGGGAATCCCAGATGCCTTGGCTGGGCTGACACAGAAATAAAGTGGCTGGAAGGAATGAAACATACAAATAAGAAAAGGATCAAAGAGTTTTTTATGCACTGTCGCCATCTACTGGTCATGGACAGCAGTAACAGGAAGCCAAACTCTCTCTGTGCAAATGACCCTGGGGACAGAGGTCACAGTGTGGGGCATGAGTGGCTGCTGAGTGCATCAGCGAAGATGTTGAAGTCCAGAAGGGAACCAGGATGCTTGGCCCAGCCCCTCTGGACAGCCCCTTCCCTCCTCCCTCCAGGGTTAGCAGGACAGGAGAAGTAGTGGTGAGACTTGATGGCAGAGATTGAGTCTCCTCCATCTTTCCTTAATCTCTGTCTGGGTGTTCCCCTTTTGACCCCAAGAAACACGATACAGACAGAAAAGAATTAATGTCTGATGATTGTAAGTGAAAGTAGCAGGAAATCGTGGGGACTGGATCAGTCTCTGGTGCAACAGCTGGGCCCCAGCGCTGATCTATGTCCATTGCCTACAGTGTTGTTCTGTTCAGTAGGGCTCAGATCCCCAAAGGCAATCGGGGGATTTCTTGATTGCTGAACAACCAAGTGTCTGGATTTGAGAAGCGATGGCCAAGGGAAAAGACTTGAGAAGAGGCTAGGTTTCAACTGAGTGAAGTAACTCAATGACAGGGGTTGTCCTTATGGGACTGACTAAAAACATCATCTGGGATGTTTGCCCTGTGGGGCAGGTCTAGTTTGGTTGGTTTGGGCTTTAAAATTTAACAGGCACCCAGTGAAATTCGTATTTTTCACATCCCATAAATGCTTCTAGTCTTTGGGACAACATATTGCCAGCTCCTATCCCATCCCAGAGTTGGGGACTGGCTGGCTCGGGGGGTGGGAAATTGGACACGGGGCCTTTCTCCTCCAGGGGCACCAGCCCTGATCCAGACCCAGGGCAGGGGACTGGCTGGCTCAGGAGTGGGGGATGGTGCGTTTCTTACCCCAGGTTGCAGTTACAATGAGCTGCCGTCACCACCACGTCCTCCTGGATCAGGAACCCTCCGCAGCTTCCCTTTGACCCTATTTGTACATAGGCCATGTAGGGTCTGGAGCCAAGCAGGGCTTCCTGGCCCCTGATGACCTGAGCTGGAGAGACAGGAAGGGGTTCAAAAGGGAGCTGGAGAGTGGGACCAAGAGCCCAGTGCAACCCGCACCCTCATCCCTTAGCTCAGCCCCCTGCTGGCCTGGATCAACCCCTTCGGCCCCCTAGCCCAGCCTGCCACTCGGTCAGCCCCTCACCCCAACCAGCCCGGTATATCCCATAATACATGTACCCACTTCAAATCTACCTTTTCCCACATGGACCTATTCATCCATCCATCCATCCATTCCTTATCCCATACATGCCCATCCATCTTCGGTCTGTGGGGCTGCCCCCAGCCATCTCCCCTCTCAGAGAACTAGGTCAGGAATTCCCTATCAACCTTCAGCCTCATTGTCCCATCTCCTGACACCTGCCTGAGCCCGATGGCTAATTCTTTCCCCCTGCCCTTGGTGTGGGCTGCGCTGCCCACAGCCCCAATTGCCCAATTCTCACCACTAGAGCTGGGCAAAAATTGATAAGCAATTGGCAAATTTGCTTTTTTAAAAAAAGCAATTTTGGGGCATCAAAAGTACCTGTGAATTCAGGTGGAATTCGGTGGATTGTTTTGGCTGGAAAAAAAGATTAATTTTTTCCAGGAAAAAGTAGAAAAGTTTTGGTGTGAGCACTGGGAAATGAAACATCTCGAGTTTCTGTTTGAAATGGTGCTTCCTTTAGAAATGGAGCAATTGGGTTTTTTTAAACTATTTTTTTTAACAGTGACTAAAACCCCTTCTAAAGTGACCTGAAGTCAAATAAAAAAGTACCCCCAAAGTTTGGAGTTGAAAGCAAATGAAAAAGAAAAAAAAGTTTCTGGATCAATTTTTGTTTCAAAATTGCATTTCAGTTCAAAACTCAGCTAATGAACAATAAGGGTGAAAAACCCCTGCACAGGCCCCAAAATGGAAGCAAAAAGCAAAAAAAAAAAAAAAAAAACCCAACTGTTTCAGGGTGAAGGAGACACCCCAAAGCAAACAACCCCCCATTTTGTTTTGAAACGCTGTCTTTTTAGGGTTTCTGCTTCTGCGAGAAAAAATGAAAAAAATAATTTTGGGAGGAACCCAGCTTTTCCCAGCTTTTACGGTTCGGCCCCTGAACCAAAAACTCTGTGATTTGCTCAGCCCCACTCCCAGTGTGAGCCCCCCGGGGCCGGGAAATACCCGGTCGCTCAGCTCAACTCACCAGTATGAAGTGGGACAAAGGCCATGGGGAACAGGAGCAGGAGCAGCCTCATTGGTGCACATCCAGGAGCTGGGGCTGGTGGCTCTGTCTCAGCCCCGGGGTTTATATAGAGCAGACAGTGGGGAGGGGAGGATGGGAAGAGGTGGCCCAGGAAGTGCAGGGTCATGTACCCAGCTACCAAGAAATTTCCCATCAGCGATGTGTCAGGGGTGGGGATTCCCAGAGAGGAAACCTTGAGCCACGTCCCCGCCCGCATCGCAGAGGGGGGCGGGGTTCCTTCCTACACTGGTGCCCTCCCTGCCCCCAGGTGGGGACGTGGCCAGTGCTGAGGCCTCCCAGCTGCAGATGGCAGAATCCCCCCGGTCTGTTCTGCCCCTGGATCCCTGGATCCGCAGATGTTCAGGCCAGCAGGGTCCATTCGACCGACCCGTCTTCCCTCCTGAGTGACCCTGGCCGGAGACCTTGCCCAGTTCCCCCGGACTGAGCCCGGTCACTGGTGTTCTGTGAACGCCTCTCCCAGCAAGGTAGCCAGGCGGGGTCTGAGGCCACCCGGAGATGGAGAAACCCCCTGCTCTGGGGAGCTGGTTCCCCTATCCCACACTGGGCCCTCCATTGCTTCTGGATTTGGTCAGGCTTTAGTTTCCCCAGTTGGATCTTGCTCTGCCTTTCCCTGCTGGATTGAAGAGCCCCCAGCACCCGGCTTTGTCTCTCCACGACGGTTCTTGGACGCCGACCTTCAGGCACCTCCCACGCGACTTGTGGAGAGGCCAAACAGAGCGAGTGCTTTCAGTCTCTCCCTGCCAGGCGTTTTCTCCAGCACTCCAATCATTTGCCTGGCCCCATCCTGCCCCATCTCCAGTTTGCCGCCCGCCCTTTTAAAGTGCTCACCCCAGACCTGGGCACAGGATCCCAGGATCCCCCCGGAAACACTCCTCCCTGCCCCTGCTCAGCATGGCTCTGTTCACATGGCCAAGGAGGGCACTACTCCTGGTGCTGCAGTTTCACATGGGGAGGTCGGAGTGCGGGGGGGGGAGGGGGTGTTGTTGGGTCAAAATAACATTTGTCTGGACAATTCCCCACCAGTTGGGATGGGAGAGAAGCTGCTTTAGGAAGGATCCTGGTTCTCCTGGGTTTGTGTCTGCGGGGCGCCGAGGACACCAAAGGCAGGATAAAAACCCGACAGCAACTTCTGCCTCCAAGAGAAACTGTAGGGCCAGGATTTAAATAAAGCTCAGTCCCCAAAGGTCGACTAGGGTCTCAGCAGCAGTCCAAGTCCATAATCTATCTGTCCATCTATAACCCCTCCGCCCCCGCTTTCTCTCTCATATTTTATTCAGTTAATTTGTTTGTTGATGTTGATTTAATTCTGGGTAATTGTTTCAGGTTAGGTTGGGCTTACTACGGCAGGAGGGTGAGTGTCATTTTTATGATGGAAAAGCCTATCCATGCATCCCCACCTGTCCTATCCCCATCCCCACCTGTCCATCCATCCATCCATCCATCCATCCATCCACCCATCCCTGCCTATCCATCCATCCATCCATCCATCCATCCCAGCCATCTGTACATCTATCCATCCCCATCCCTGCCTATCTATCCCTCCATCCATCCCCACACCTAAATTCATAGATTCCAACGCCAGAAGGGACCATTGTGATCATCTAGTCTGACCCCCTGCAAAGCAAAGTCCAGAGAACTGCTTCACAGTTATTCCTAGAGGAGATAATTTAGAAAAAACATCCAGTCTTGATTTAAAAATTGTCAGTGACTTTGGTCACTTGTTCCGATGGTTAATTATCCTCACTGTTAGAAATGTATGCCTTATTTCTAGTCTGACTTCATCTAGCTTCAGCTTCCACCCATTGGATTGTGTTAGACCTTTGTCTTCTAGACTTAGGAGCCTGTTATTAAATATTTCCCCCTCTGTATGTACTTATAGACTTTGATCACGTCACCCCTTCTCTTTGTTAAACTAAACAGATTGAATTCTTTGAGTCTACCACTAGGTGGCAGGTTTTCTAATCCTTTGATCATTCTTGTGGATGTTCTCTGAACCCTCCTCAATTCAGCAACATCCTTCCTGAATTTTGTGGGCACCAGAACTGGACACAGGATTCCAGCAGTGGGTTGCACCAGTGCCAAATGCGAAGGTAAAATAACCACCCTGCTCCTACTCGAGATTCCCAGGATCGCATTCGCCCTTTTGGCCACGGGGTGGCACTGGGAGCTCGTGTTCAGTTGCTTCTGCACTGTGACCCCCAAATCTTTTGCAGAGTCTGTTTCCCAGGACAGAATCTGCCAACCTGTAAGTATGTTGGAGAGGTGCAATTGCTGGAAAGAGCCCTGAAACCCCTGGCGTAGACAGGTAAAGGGGGATCTGGAATTTCTTCCTGTTCTCTTTGTGTGTTTCTAATGGGGCCAGACTGGAGGGCCCAGGAGGGCTTTCCCAGCTCTGTATTTGGCTTTCCATTGGCATTCCAGACTGGCAGTCGGGAGCTGCCCACGATAATGGTGATAGCACCCAGCTCTTCGAGACTGTCTGTCATGCAGAGGCCTCACAGTACAAGTGAATGTCCTTATCCCAATAGGGCTGTGAGTAAACTAAGGCACAGGGAGCGATGGGAGATGCCCCCAGCCCCCCAGCAGTCCAGGGTGAGAGCTTTTCCACTGGGCTTTTTGGATCCACCCTATGGCCTTTAGCAGGGAAAAGGCAGCCCCTGCTTCTGGATCCTGTTGGGTGGGGCCTAAGCCCTACAAAGAGTTTGCAGGTTTGGAGACATCACTTCATGCAGGGGAGGAATGTGGAAATCCTTATGTGTAGGTGCTGGGCAGGGCCCACTGGAGTGCAAGCTCCGATCCAGGACCAGGGCAGGCGACTGACTGGCTCAGGGGGGTGGGGAATGGGATATGGGGCTTTCCCTTCTATGGAAATTCAGTGCTTCCATCTCCTTTCCAAGTGCCAATTTCTGTCCTTCCGTAGCTTACCCTTACATGGTCTGTGGGTAACGCTGATTGGTATCGATGCTGGGTGAGAGAACACACCCTGATCCCACCCCCATCTGAGTGGGATAAAAGAGGTTGTGAATCTGATCTCCCTAATACCAGCCCCCCCCCCGATGCCCAGGGTGTCTCTGAACCCCCACCCCCACAACCACATTGTCAGAGCCAGATGCCTCCCCTCCTCCTGCTGCCCACACTGGGTTTATCAGCCCCTGCCCAGGGGGCTTCAGCCCTACCCCCTATCATGGATCCCTGGCCTATCAGTGGAGACACTCTCTTGCTGTGGGGATTCACATAGACAGAGCCAGGAGCATCACTGGTCCAGACATTCCTGCTTCCAGCTTCTCCCAGGGGCCAGTCCTGGATGCTCCCAGCCAACTCTCCATGCTGGCCTTGGAGCCCAGTTGGTGACCCTTTCTGTAGCTATCAGCAGAACTCAGTGGGTCCAGCAGGCCATGGCTGGTGAATGGGTCTAGATACTAATGGTGTGGGTCTAGGTGGATCTAGAATCGATTTGCATAGATGTGAGTTGATCAAGACTGATAGCTCTAGACTGGAATTGCATTGATCCATTATTGACCTAAATGGATCCAGTAGCACATTTGTGCATTTGCATTGCTCAGGCATGGATCTTAAATGGTTTGGGCATGACTCTAGATGAGCAATCATGGGTCTACGTCAGGGGTGGGCAAACTATGGCCCTTGGGCTGTGTCCGGCCCGTTAGAACTTTTAATCTGGCCTTCAAGTTCCCACCAGGAGCGGTGTCAGGGGCTTTCCGCATGGCTCCTGGAAGCAGCGGCATGTCCCCCCTCTGGCTGCCATTCGTAGGGGCAGCCAGGGTGCTCCACACGCTGCCCCTGCCCCAAGGGCCACCCCACAGCTGCCATTGGCTGGGAAATGCAGCCAATGGGAGCTTCAGGGGCTGTGCCTGCAGATGGGCAAGCATGCAGAGCCGCCTGGCCGATGCCGCGCCTCCATGTAGGAGGGGGGCATGCTGCTGCTTCCGGGGGCATTACCTGTTGACAGGGCAGCGTGCAGAGCTGCCTGGCTATGCCTCCATGTGGGAGCCAGACAGGGGACATGCCGCTGCTTCCAGGAGCTGCTTGAGGTAAGCCCTGCCAGAAACTGCAACCCTGAGCCTGCCCCCCTCCAGCACCCCAGCCCCCTGCCCCAGACCTGATCCCCCTCCCACCCACCGAACCCCTCAGTCGCAGTCCAGAGCACCTTCCTACTCCCCAAACTCCTCATCCCTAGCCCCACCCCAGAGCCTGCACCCCCAGCCGGAGCCCTCACCCCCCTGCATCCTAACCCCCAAGTTCATGAGCATTCATGGCCCGTCATACAATTTCTATACCCAGAAGTGGTCCTCAGGCCAAAAAGTTTGCCCCGGTCTACATGGAGCTAGATAGGATGGGTGTGATGGGACCCCATCAACAGAAGAGACAGAGCTATAACTGAGACCAATCAACATGGTTCCGTGGACAGCAGGCCTTGTTAAATGAAGATAATGTCATTTTTTGACAACATTGTAAGGCTGGTTGATAGAGGCAACGATGCTGCGGGAAGAGAGAGATTTGGACTCCTGGATGGCATTTGAGAAAGTGTAACATCAACATGGCCCATGTGAAATGGGTTAAGAAAACCTGACTCACCAACTGAGCACAAAATGCAATCCTGAATAGGGAACCAAGGGACTTTCTAGGGAGGGTCCCACAGGGACCTGTTCTGGGCAAGAGGCTCTAGAGGGGCTTATGCTTTTAGCTCTGGAGGCCCCTAATTCGATCCCTGGTGTATCAGCTAAGATGACAGACATAATACGCCAGCTCCCATAGCCACATTGCCAGCACTCCTGTTACTGTCTGCTCGGTTATCTCACGACTTCTATCTCTCTCTGCCCCTCCTCTCTCTTGCACATGGTCAACAGCTGTTCCACTGAGCAAAGCCCTGGCCCCTGCCTTTCCTAGGCATGCCCATGGAAACCCCTGGAACCACGTGGTTCAGCGTCTACTCCAGCTTTCGCATGATCCTGTGTCAGGCACTTTGATTGTGGGTTCCCCACATGGCTACAACGGCTTCTTTCCATTCATCTATGAGAGGGGAGGCCTTACCCAGAACAAGGTTTAACCCAACCCCCAGCAATAGCATTGGCCCATCTCCTCCTTAGG